ACCCGCAGGGTTTGCCCGAAACTGCGTCAGAACCCCGCAGCGCCTCGCTCTTCGAAAAAGAAAACCCTAAAGCCCAAACCCCTGCACCCCCACGCCCCAACCCAAGCAAGAGAGCGAGCTTCATATACATCTTTGACGAGATGCTGATTGTCATGGATACCCTTCGTTTCCCGCCAAACACAACAAACATCTGTCACAGCGAGACGTCAAATTCGCATGTGCGTATGTTGCTGGTTACAGATCAGTGTAAATGGTCTCAGCTTCCGATACTTGCGCTGGTATGTACGAACCTACCATTACTATGAGAACCATAGCACTGATAAGTCGTCATACAAGCAAAACAAGAACATCTTCTACTTTACCAAAGAAATAACAGAAAAATGCATAACACATCACAACAACATGAGCAGGAGACATGCCGGGAAAAGGAAAATACCATTCATGTGTAAGGCATGACCGTTGCAAGAACTTAATTACATATTATTCTCATGTGGGCGAAAGTTGAGCTTCTCATGTGGGCGAAAGTTGAGCTAAGACGGATACTAATTCGAGTAGCAAATGTGGGCACCAAAAAAGGTAGCAATAAGAGCGACACAAATCATGCAGTGAATTGTAAAAAAGCCTGAATAATAACAAAAAGCTGGAAACCTTAATCCAATATAGGTTGATGGCAGCAGACAGCAAAGCTACATGAATAGTCATAGCTGCAATATGGGTCAAAATACAAGGAGAATTAAACAGCTTGTGAAAACGTGCGGAAAAAACGTGCACTGATGGAACAAATGATCACAACCTTATTAAGCAAGAATAAGGGCAGTGATTAAAATAACGACAACACCAAAAACAAAAGCGAAGAAACTAGAAGAGATAATTAGCTGATATGTGCAGCCATGGTGTGATAAGTAGCAGAACAAATTATAGCTATTCTAGCACCAACCGGACGAGTAGTAATATAGCAGTAGTGATACTGATAATGGTGGTGATAGTAGTAATCAAGCTAAGAATAACAGAAACTGTGATACTAATCATAACGGATGGGTAGCGTGAACAGCAGCTGCAGCCCAAATCGCAACAGTATCAATGCAAATGTAAAATTAGTAGCACAAAAACGGTGTTGATATTCAAAACCAATAGCACCATTGATAGCCATGGAAATATTTACAACGGTAGTGACACTCAAAGAAGACGGGAATGTGATAGCGCGTAACCATAGCAAAGCAAGTCGAACGGGTAAGCACAAATATTACCCGCAACTTGAAAAATAATCCGAGGAGAACAAAACGACAACATGGATAGGAACAAACGACAATATGGATAGGGGTCGGAGACACAAACAGAAACTATAATAGTAGTAGAATTAGTGGCAAAAGTTACTAAAACAGTGATACAAGAAATAGTGCCGTAGAAATAAGAAAGACAGTAGTACCTGTAAACCAAGACTGGGCATTTCGCAACCGGCCATGGTGCTGGCACTAATCATAGTACCTATGTGGTACTTAGAAGCTAACAAAAGACAAAGAATAGTCATTGACCCATCGACAATTACTATTGAAACTATTGGCTTATGGGATCTAAGTAATGGCCTACAGTTGGTCAACGTAGTAGTGATGCAAGCAGTAGCCACAGCAATCGTGATAGAAATAAGTATCATGTTGGCAATGCGATAAATATGGTATAATATAGCACCCATAAAAATAATCGTAATACTAATAGTAAAAACAGTGTAGCTATTTGCCACCCAAGAAACAGTAATCAGTAATCTTAATAATAAGGAGGATAGCTACAACAAAAATTATACCAAATTATGCCAGTAATGAAACTAAGCACGGCAACAAACATGATAGCAAAAATAAGAAGAAAGACAACACTATAAAAATGATCATACAGGTTACTTGTATATCACAGTGCTCACATAATGTTGCTTTTTATAACTAACAATGCAAGGTAATACCATGGGTGCCAATCTACAATACGAGCCGTTTGTGATAACATTAAAGTATGAGTTTTATTACCAGTACTTCTGCGTTTATTACTGTTAAAATTAATCGTAGTAGTAGTAGCACTATTGTTTATAAATACGAATGGTACACAAACTAGTATGAATATAACATAAATATTCGTAAAAATTTTAGTATGAACATTAGAACTATTATTTGTAGTGAATAAATAACATCAGTACGAGTACTAATACGAGTACTAGTCTTAAGAATTATATTTGTACTGAATAAAAAATATGAATACTAGCACTAGAATTACTTTTCGGTAATAGTTTTCTTAGCATTATTGGTACTAGTATTAACATGATTAGTGATACTAGTATTCGTGGTCCGAATATTAGTAGTAATAACTGTTTGTAAAAATATATTAGTAACTAGTAGTCTTAGTATGAGTATCTAGACCTAGTTGTTTTTGACGAGGGTTCGGAAGGGGGGTCAGGGGAACACCGCGGGGTTCGACGAAGTTCGGCGGAGGCGGTGTCTCTTGCTTGGCTTTTGTGTTCCCTTGATACTTAATTGTTCAATCTGGCAGCTAGCAAATCGGAATCTTGCGCGGGAGAGGGTGGTTCGGTTTCAAGAGTTTTACTTATCTCTATTTAGATTTGGATTGCGAAGCTTCCGGAAACTCCGTCTTTATCAGGGGGGGTTCGTCATCGGTTCTTACGCTCTCGGCAGGGTTAGGTCTTGCCTCCTGAAATTAACACATCTATAAACACATCACAGTCTTATACTGTAGGACTGACTACTCAACCCAATAACCTTCAATACCAATGGCCAATAATATCAGTTCAATACCACGTAACTAGTTGCTCGCTGGAAAAATAAACTTACTCTGCATTGACCCTCCTATGCAATCTTGCGACCACCTGGTCGGCAGCCTGATGGACGTCTATTGATCTTACATCTTACTCCCCCTACCGTCTGCCCATGTAGTGACTTTGCTATCTCTCAATCGTACGACCTCACGGCCGGCGCCCAAATGGACGTCTTGCTAATTCTTGCCGTGCTACGACTAGGCTTCCCAGCTGATGTTCGTACGTCCGATGGACGTCTTGCAAAAACGGGCGCGACCCCCCGGTACCTTAAGTGTCGCTCCTAGGCCGGGGCACGACCTCACGGTCAGCCCATGTACTCCCGGGCTCCCAGCAGCACCATGATCTTGTGCAAAACGTGAATGCTCTCTTGCTTGGGCTGGGCTTGCGGCTGCATCGTGGGGTTGGTTTCTTTTCGTTTTGGGTCTTTGGGGATAGGGTTCTTGCAATGGCATAAAACTCGGGCCAAACCCTCGGGGAATCCAAACCCCAAACCCTGACAACTGAAGCGAAGCCGAAGTCCTGGAACCTTCCCCCCTTTCCCAAAAAGACACAGCAGCACAAATGATGATGATGACGATGATGATGGTGAGTATTGTATATGTGCACATTATTTGTTGTTGCTATTAACTACATTTTGTCATGATAGCAGTAAAAAATTAGTTGCTTAAGCCTCTGGCTACACTCCTGTCAAGTTTGTTCTGTCGACTCAACTTTTGTTTTTTGTTCTGGTTAATAGTATAGGGACGATCGTAATGTTATTGTATTCAATGTTGCTGAAACATGCTGAATATAAAACAGCATATTGTTCTTGCTAGCCGGTATTCAAGACTACAACAAGCAAAAGCACTAATAATCTAGCTAAGTCAAGCTGTGTAATTAATTATTCATGACCTACACGGTAATATTTTTTGATTGGTTTTGATATCATATACGTACACAAGTTCATAAAATTACTCTGTTATACATAACCGCTCAAAGTAAAATAAATGAATATCCAGGACACACATGTTCCGCGTCCAAATTGATCAATCAGGTTGCTGGGCTTTTATTATTAGTACTATTAAAATATGACTTGGGACAGTACCTGATGATATGCAGGCCCCTGTGAGAAATAGTGTGCTGATGATGAGTTTTAAAAGACTTTTAGTTTAAATTGTTATCATAAGCGATAGCAGCAATAATAAGGAATAAATAAACAACAATATACTTTCTTGACAATAGCCTTTATGAACATTGAATGTTAATAAGTACCTCTGAACAACACACTAAGAAGTCTTGCGCAAGGTAACTGTTTATTACAGGATTCACATATTTTTCATTTATGACTAATAATACAAAACGTTACTTTGAATGCAAACCTATACTATGAGCCATTTGTTATAACATTAAGGTATGCATAATAATGCGAATATTTACGACTAGTTTATGAATGTTTAACAGTCATCGTAATATTAGTACCGTAATCTATGAATATAAACATTCATATGAATAACAGCATAAATATTGGAATCAAAAATGGCACTACATAAACAACATTAGTACTTGTATTAGTATTATTAATTATTGTAATAGTATTCTTAGTTATTATTATAAGTAGTATTAATATCATTAGTGCTAGTATTCATATAAGTAGTAAGAGTTGTTTACATAAATATAGTATTCGTATTAAAAGTATTGGTATTAGTATTAGCATTAGTATGAATATTAGTATCAGTATCAGTATTAGTATTAGTATTAGGCAATAGTAATAGTATTAGTATTAATAGTACTAGACAAGGGCTCAGACAAGGGTTTGAAGGAGGTTCGGCGAGGGTTCGGCGAACGCCGGCGGGGTTCGACGAACTTCGGGCGAAGGGTCGGGTCTTGCCTTTCCAGAGTGTTGCCCCCTTCTGTGTTGCCCTGATATTCCTAATGTAGAAAACCTACATTCTACGATACAGGTACCAAAGACCCTAAACCCTGAACCGGCACAGTACCCTGCAAAAAAAGTTCTTGTACCCTCAAAAAACAACTGTAGGTCCTTAGGACTCTTTGCGTGAGCCGATTCAAGTCTCTAAAATAGATGCCGTCATAATTAGAACAGGGGCTTGTTGGGGCCCATTATACTATGAATGTAATACTGCTGATGGACAAAATCCTGCGTTACCCCTTATAAGGAATATACCAAAGTTCCCATAGTTTAGAGTCCTCAGGGTCATGCAGGATTTTGTCCATCAGCAGTATGAACGTAACAATGAACCCCCCCAAAAGATAGTCTAGGTAATTATTTGGGCCCCGATCATATTCAGGGCCTGGGCCTGCCTGCCAAAGCCCATCCTTACCCTTCTTCCATCATCTTACTTTCACCCTTAGGGTTCCTGTTTGGGGATCTATCAGGGATCCTGTAAAGGGATCGATAAGGGGTCCTTTACAGGGATCTATATGGTTTAGGGATCTAAGGACTCATATCTTAAGGCTTTTGGGCCCAAAGACCATACTTTAGAAGGCTTTTGGGCTATTTTGAGCCTTAAGGTAGGGCTTTCAAGGGACCAAGAATGAGGGTTTAGGGTTTAGGGCCCAATAAGAGGTACTTGGGCAAGAAAGCATGGCAGTCATGTAAGTGATAAATGATAAATTTGGGAGACCATATTCGTATTAGGCAGTTGGACCCTTAGGGTTTATTTACATCTGCGAGACTCGGGACAGCTAAACCCTAAACCTGAACCCTTAGGGTCAGTAACGGTTAGTATATCCCGGAAGCCGAGTCGTGAGAGACTTTCGGGCTGGGACCGAACAGGGAGCGGATCCTGTGGCACGCGATCCTGGCCCTGAAGACCCTTCGCTGTGAGGAAATCAACAGGTATATCAGTGCATGACCAGTTGACGACACGGAGCCAGAAGAAACCCAGAGACTCCAATATCCCCTAACTAAGGAATATTCCGTAAATCATATAAGGGATCCTACTATAATTTAAGGTATATTCCTTTTGTTAAGGGGTTTTGGAGTCTCTGGGAATGACGTTCATTCAAGAGCCAAGCTCTGAAGGAGAGTCTTCAACCTCCAGAAAGACACGGCGTCGAGCCGGGCTGTCTCCTTGTGCCGAGCCCATTATGTCTCGGGGCTCTGCGAAGGGGATGCGGCTGTTTTGCCACGAAGCCCACAGGGCAACCCAGAGCTTCTCTATTCAGGACCAACTCTGGACAGGGAGAAATAAGTATAGAATTTTTATTTCCTAATGGTTCCTGTAAGGAACAGGTACCCCAAAACAGTACTCAATTATGGTATTGCAAACCCAGCAACTTCAGGAAAAGGCACTGCGGAGGCTAAACTACACCCCAAACCTTGGAGCTTACAGTGATATCACGATTCGAGAGTCCTTAGCTTGCACCTTGGACAGTACAGTATAGGGCTTAGCAGCACGACCCCATCCCCCATCCCATTTGAGAGGTGCTAGGGGGTAGATGCATTGAGTCTATGAGATCGTACTGCGAGTAAGGGTTCCTATGGTTGATGATATAAACCCAGCATTACCGTAATGATCCTAGACTATGGGTATTATGGTATATTCCTTATTACGAGTAATGCAAGGTCAATATCATCAACCGTATTGGGTGTTGAAGTCCACATACACACGTCGAAGACTATACGACAACAGACCAAGAAGGCCCAAGAGCTGAAACCCAGCCCTGCATGCCACAAGTTCTATGCTCCATACGGCCTTCAGTCCCTTACAGTAGAAGCTCAACAGTTGGAAACCCAATGGCCTCAATCCTTAAGAGTAATGTATAGGGAATCCCAGCACTATTCGGCCTCAATCCGGCTTCCAACTTTATGAGATTACCTCATGTAAATTATAGTAGGATCATTCCTTACTTAAGGGGATTAACAACCATATACGCAAGCGCAGAGAGCCCTGAGCCCCAAAGTTGAACCCCCCCCACCAAAACCTAAACTTTAAGCCCCCTTAGGGTTTAGGGTTTAGGATTTAGGGTTTAGGGTCTCTAAGTTTAGGGTTTAGGGTTTAGGGTTGAACTATAACCCCCCTTAAAACTAAAGCCTCAACTCTACTTTACACCCAAGTTGCCTCGAGCTCGAGGATCCACCGGCTGTTTGCATCACCCATTGCCTCCTTTGAAGGGCATGGGGGTTCAGAGAGTTACGACATTCTGAAGTGCCCATGTATGCCGGGCTCAGAGAGTTAACAAGGCACTTCGGCGTCCACGTACCCATATAGTGGCTGTAAAGTT